TTTAGACACATGTACACACACACCCCACACTTTTTTCATACACATATATACATACATACTCTCTGATGCATACCCACACACACTTACACACCTATATACACACAATCATACACACATTCTCACACACATACTCATGCACTTACAACACATACTCTCTTACACATATACATACTCACATATTCTCTTTCACACATACATACACACCCTTGCACACCACATTCTAACACACACACCCATTTACACATATTCACACACAGATATACACATACATACTCTTTTACACACATACACACATTCACATACTCATAAGCATACACAGTCACACACATATAACCACGGTATTTGGGGTGTAGGAATCTGAACCCAGAGGCTCCCACATACTAACTGTACTCTCCCACTTAGATGTAAACTATGCCCTCAGCTCCTCAGAGTACTGTCATCACCTCACAGTATCTATGAGAAATTGGTGCTGTTTGGCTTTCAAACATCCCTCACCAGCTCATGTTTTGAGTACTTGTTCCCAGTTTGCATCCCTGTTTTGAAGGCTGAGAAGCATTTAGGAGGTGGGGCCTGGCTGACAAAAGTGGCTCACTTGGGCCCTGGGGGTGTTTATTCACCTCTGGTTCTACCCTGTGCAGACTGCTTCCTGGTCTGCACCATGTGAACAGGCTCAATCACATCTGCTGCTGCCACAGACCAAGCTGCTGTTCTGTTATTTGCCACCATGATGGCCTGGAAGCTCTCCGGAACCTTGAGCCAAAACCATCTCTCAAGTTGTTTCTGTTGGGCCTTTTGGTCACAGTGAGGAGAACAGGAAGACAGGTGCCTAGAGAGGTTATTTAACTCATGTGGATACTATAGATTCTACTATGGTAATGAAGAAGAGTCCTGCACTGAAATTTCTGTTTCCAAGCCAGACATGATGACATACACCTAAAACCCTAGCACTCATAGGTGGAGGTAGAAGAGACCAAGAGTTCAAGGTCATCTGTGGCTGCATAATGAATTCAATCCCAGCCTGGGCTAAATGAGAGAAAAATTTCTATATATATTTAACTTATTTTGCTTTAAAGAAAATGAAACCAGAAACCAGAAACCAGAAATCTTACACAATGTGTGATCATGGCTTATACATGAAAGGTGATGTCTGGCTCTAATCAGTCAACCCACTTAAAAATAGGTGTTGGATTGACATCAAGAGGTTGGTAAATAAATGTACATTAACCTCAAGTAAAATGCTCAAGGTACAAGTGATTCATTTATGATGGTACCTTATCCTCCTTATGTTTTCAGATAACCCAGTGCCCTCTCAGACACATTTATGGTTTTTGGGTTTTGAACACTGAGTTTTAAAAACCCAAATGAGATCTTGCCAGTGATATTTATGTAAATTGATGCTTCCCAGTGAATGATAGTCTCTTGATATCTTTCCATGCCAATATAGATGGTCTTCTTCATTCATAGTAAGCGCCATGCATTTCTCAATATTGAGAACGTATCATAGCAACTTCCCAGAATTAATGGACGTTTGGCCCTCCAACACTGACTTTTCGCATTTATAAATAACATTCCATCAAACCTCAGGTACTTGATTCTTTATGAAGTCAGGTGTCTGTGGGCAGAGAAAGATGTCATAGTCCTGATTCTGCTTATTAAATGATCCAAGAAAGAAAATGAACACCTTGAGGTCATCTCTTAGTTATATTTCCCTTCATGGTGTTAAAATGACTGGTCAGGGGCTAGAGAGATGGTTCAGCAGTTAAAAGCACTGGCTGCTCTTGGAGAGGGCTTGGGTTCAATTCCTAGCATCCACATGACAGCTAACCATCCATAACTCCAGTTCCAGGGGATCAGATGCCCTCTTTTGGCCTCCAAGGGCATTGCATGCATGTGGTACACTTACATACATGCAGGCAAAACACTTAATAAATTAATTTTTAAAATCTTTTTTAAAAAATTCAAATTCCTGATCAGCAACCTAGGGTTAAATTGGGCTCACAGTTTGAGGGGACAGTCCATTATTGCTGAGTGGGCATGGCAGCAGCAGTGTGAAGCTGTTTGCTCACATCTCAGCTGATCAAGAAGCAGAGGCAGGAGCTACAGTGTTCAGTTCATGTTCTGCTTTATCTCTGCTCTTCAGTCTGAACCACCCCTCCCCCTGGCCCTATTCAGGGCAGATCTTCCCTGCACAGTTAAACCTCTCTGAAAAGCCACATGGATACATCCAGACATGTGTCTCCTAGGTGATTCTAAATTCAGTCAAGTTTACTGTGGTGATTTGAATGAGAATGTCCCCCATAGGCTCCATGTATTTAGCCATCTTGTCCCCAGTTGGTGGCACTGTTTTGGGAGGTTTTAGGAGGTGTGGCCTTGCTGGAGGAAGTGCCTCACTAGGGGCAGGCTTAGAGAGTTCATAAGCCTTGTGGGATTTTCAGGCACTCTCTGCTTCCTGTGCCTGCTTGAAGATGTGAGTGTTCCACTTCTCCTCCGGCCACCTCTTGCCACCACACCTCCCCACCATAAGAGACTCTAATCCCTGTGGAACCATAAACTCAAACTATTCTATCAGTTGCTTTGGTCAGTGTTTTTATGACGGCAACAGAAAAGTAACTAATGCACCAAGAATGATTTGCTATCACTGCATCTTCAATAGCCTTTTAGTTCATAGGGATGTAGAGAAGACACATACGTAGCTTTGACATTAGTAGCATGCAGAAGGAAACAAAAGGTGACTAGATAGTATGGGGGACAGGAAGAGAGGTACTGAAGGGTCTGGTGAATGGGTGACCAAAAGGCCTGATGGGAAGCTGGCGCCTGAGCCTAGACTTCAAGGGTTGCATGGCTCTGACACTCGCTGATTGCCTGCATGGAGGTGCCTGGCAGTGTGCTGGATTCCATCTGCTTGGTTGGATGAAGGTAGAAATGGGAGGTGCTCTGGGAAAAGATGACCAAGTCCAGGAACAGAGGAGGAAAAGCAAACAGTATACTCTGACAACCCAGAGTCTATTGGGGTAGCCAACTCATCAGCCCTTTGGAGGTACATGAAAAGAGAGGGATATTAAAAGGTTAAACTTAAAAGCCCCAGGCGGGCCTTAGGTCTCTCTGACAAACTTTCTTCATGGTGTGTTCTGAAAGTGGGGTAAGAGAATTTAAGTGGGGTCAGGCAGCTCTCCAAGTTGAATCCTGTGAGGCAGATGGGTGGCTCTGTGTTCTTTAGCGTTTTCCCAGCAGACCCAGGTTTTGCTGAGGCTGTTACCATGGCAACATCAAGGCTTCCCTTTGGGGGATTGTTTCTGTTTTGGACTCTATGTGGAAGAGAAATTACAAAGTTTTGCGTGGGTGGGAGAAGCCTACCTACTGTCTATGTCTGTAAACATCTCCCTCCCTGCCTCATGGATTTCCATATGCTATTTATCTCATTAGTTCCACAAAACATCAGATGCATCTTTAATGGCCTGGCCCCTGAAAGATAACACATACCATCAAGCATTCAACTGTGTTCCAAATAATCTTCTGGAGCCAGCCTTCTACGGGGCCATGTGGGTGTCAGACAGTCTGGCTGAGTCACGCTGACATAGCTGGGATGCCTGGATTGTGCTGGAATCTCAGGGGTGCCAATCATAGGTCAGGGAGAAACCACTGGCCAGAAGGAACAATATGCCTGGGTGTACACCACCCATGCAGATGGAGGATGGTGATGGTGAGGAGCACAGGAGCTACAGGTAGGGGATGACAGAGACCTCCCAAGTGGGATGGCACCTGTTAGTGAAATGCTTTGTAGAAGCATTTCAGGGCACAGGTCAGGAATTCACCCTTCCCCTGACCCTTCACCAAAAGAACTAAGAAAGCTCAAGACTTAGCCTAAAACCACTCAGGAGTCACACTCAGCTATAACTCAGGGCTTGGGAAAGCCAGCTTGATAATAATGGCCAAAATGTAGTGGCCCTCTACCTCCTGGGTGCTGTGTTAGGCAGCAGGTAAACAATCCTTTCAGTCTCCTGGCTCTGTGAGGAAGTGTTTTTCGTAAGTCCCACTTTATAAAGAAAGAAACTGAGATTAACTGGGTATGCTGGTGCATGCTCATGATCTTAGGACCAGGGATCCAGAGGCAGGAGGATCACTGTGGCTTACACTCCTGTAGCCTTCTCTACAGAGTAAGCTCCTATGTTTTTATGTTTTAACTTCTGAGAATTTTATACATAAGTATTGTCTTTGCATTATTGCCATCCCTCCCAGGCCGCCATCCGTTCCTCCCATGTCCCCCAACTCCCTGTCAATTTCTTGTCCTCTTTTTTTTTTATATTATTGTTACATATAATATACATATAATAAATACAGTTGTATACACAAACACACACACACACACACACACACACACACACACACACACTATTTTAGTGGTACTCGTGTACCTGTGTTTAGGGCTGCCCACTTGGAATTAGATAACGTCCCAGGGAGCTAGTCCTTGGAGAAAACGATTCTCCTTCCCTCAGCATTCATTGACTACCTGTAACTCCTCATCTTGAGGTGGGACCCTATGACATTCGCCCCATCCACCTTTGCATGTCAACTGGTTTTTACCATCACGTAGCTCTTGTTAGACTACCACAATATGCAGAGTTCATGGGTGCAGCTTCCCTGCCATGTCTAGAATGCATTAACTAGCAGCAGGTGTCTGGTTCCTCTGCCTCTTACATTCTTTCCACCCACTCTTCTGTGATGTCCCCTGAGCCTTTGGGGTAGAGGTTGCATTGCAGATGTGTCACTCAAGACCAGGCACTTCACAGTCACTCATTCTCTGCTTTTGACCAGTTGTGGAACTTTGTAATAGTCTTCATCTGTTGCAAAAATATGAAATGCCACAGAGCGTAGTGGTGCACGCCTTTAATCCCAGCAATCAGAAGGCAGGCGCATCTCTGTGAGTTCAAGGCCAGCCTGTCTGTATAGTGAGTTCCAGCTCAACTGGGGCTACAGGGAGACCTTTTCTCAAAAAGATTTAAAAAAATATGAAATGCTTCACAAATTTGCATGTCGCTCTTATGCCGGGGCCATGCTAATCTCCTCATTGTTCCGGTTTTACTATATGTGCTGCTGAAGTAAGCATGAGTTCCTAGCATTTAAAAAAGCAAAATGAAAAAGAAGCTGAGGCTAGAAAGGGTTAAGAATTATACCTGAGGAGGACTGGAGAGATGGCTCAGTGGTTAAGAGCACTGACTGCTCTTACAGAAGACCCAGGTTCGAATCCCAGCAACCACATGGTGGCTAACAACTGTCCATAACTCCAGTTCTAGGGGATCCGAGATCATCTTCTGACCTCTGAGGGCACTGCATGACACTGATACACTTACATACATGCAGGCAATACATGCATACACATAAAATAAAAATAAAAGATAATTTTTTTAAAAAAAGAAATGTACCTGAGGGGCTGGGGATGAGACTCGGTTGGTTATGTACTTGCCCAGCGTGCAAAGCCCTGTGCTGGACCCCTGGTACTGCATAAACCAGGCATGTGGCACACACTTGTAATCTCAACACTTGAGAGGTAGAGACAGGAAGATCAGGAGTTTAAGGTCATTCTCAGCTACATAGCAAATTCAAGGCCAGCCTGGGCTATGTGAGACGCTGTCTCAAATAGATATGTTCTGGTATATATATATGCATATCTGAATCCTATAATTTATAATTGACAGAATGATACTTGAACTATAATCTTCCCAAAGCCAAAGCAGGCTCTTAACCACTCTGCTGCCAACCAGGTGCCAATGCATGTGATTTGGGCCATCTATACCAAAGCCACCCCAGAGGGTAGAACTCAGTGTGTTGAACAGGGAAAGCGAATTCTTTTTCTTTTAATCTTTTTGAGACAGGGTCTCCCTGTAGCCCCAGCTGGCCTGGAACTCACAGAGATTCGCCTGCCTCTGCCTCCCAAGTGCTGGGATTAAAGGCATGTGCTACCATGCCCAGCCTGGGAGCAAATTCTTGAAGAGTTTGTTTTACTCCTGAGGGCATAGGAAGACATAGTGAACATGGTCTCCCTTTGCTTCAGTGACTGTTGTACAGGATCCCAGATGGGCACAGCCAGCAGAGGTTGAAGGTGCTGGAGGAGGCTGCAGACTAGGGAAACAGGGGAATGATATAGGCTGTTTCCACATCTTAGATCTCTGAGGAGTTCTGCTATTGTGTTTTCAATTAGGGTCTTCTTGTCCATTCTCCCTCCCTCAGTCCTCCCTCCACCCCTCCTCCCATCAACTCCATAGGCTGGTATAATTCATATCAACATATTACAGAGTAGCAAAGGGGCCCCAAGTACTCAGTGGCCCAAGAGCAAGCTGGAGTGGGCAGCATGTTAAACCCTGGGTGCCAGAGTCTGGGAGTTTGCTGTAGATTTGTGCCTCAAAAAGAACACTGTAGCCCTTTGACTCTCCCACAGCTCCTAGCACATGTGCTTGGACACAGTAGATGCTCAATAAAAAGTGGCTTAGTGATCATTCAAGGGCATTTCTAGTCTGTATTTCCAATGATCAGCAGGAGGGATGCTTTTGAGACAAGAAATGAGAAGTATGCAGGCCATGTTCTAGAAAGTGGTATTCCATCTCAACTCTGTGTATGTGTGTGACGAGAGAGAGAGAGAGAGAGAGAGAGAGAGAGAGAGAGAGAGAGAGAGAGAGAGAGAGAGAGTGTCTCTCTTTTTTCAACTAGCACTGGGTATCACTTTGCACTTATTTGCACCTATTTTCTGAGACAGGGTCTCTTTCTGGACTTGCAACTTGCCATTTCAGTCCACCCATCTCCAACCCCCAATGCTAGGGTTACTGTTGCCTTCCCCTGAGCCCATCTTTTATGTGGATGCTAGGGATCCAAACTCAGGTCCTCATGCTTGCACAGCAAGTACTTTACCCACTGAGACATTGTGCTACCTCCTAGCACTCCTCTCCCTTTTTGAGACAGAGTCTCATTATGTTGTCCAGGCTGATCTTGAACTACCAGGCTCAAGTGGGCCTCTGACCTCCTCCTGAGTGCTCGGACTATAGGTGTGTGTTGTCATACTTGGCTCCAAGTCTTCTGATATGCAGTTGAGACAACCCATTTCAAAAAAACCTTGATTCATTGATGCAGCCAATCAACACTTAAAATGGCTCATCTTTATGCTATTCTCCACATATATAATACATACTAAAACCAACTCACACAAACATTGAAGTTGAGAATGAGAATGCACCTGCTAGAACATTCCAGAAGGTTCCAGAGCTTCAGTGTATGCTCAACTTGATCTCCTCCTTTCTTTCCATGCCTCTAGTCCCAGTGGTGAAATCATTGGTGAGCTCAGATCTGCTCTATCCATAGAAAGGTTGCCTGCCTCTCTATGTGATAAACAGACTCCAACTTAGAAAAAAAAATCTCCTGATTTGGCTAAAAGAAACATAAAGGACACCGCCCCCCACCACCTTCCATTTAAAATTACATGCAGCTCATAACAATGGAGTTTGGAAGAAATTTCTAAGCTCTCAATGTTTTGATCCACTAGTCTATACTATCTGAAGATCAAATGAATCGTGGAAGGAGAGACACAGCTCTCAGAGATGTTTTGCTTAGTGGGACTTCTCTCTTGGTAACTCTGCAGCAAGAGAGAACAAATTTCTGGTACACTGAAATGATTTCATCTCCCAGAAGTGATATTCTATCCAGAAAGTCTGTCAAGACACACTGGGTCCCTGGAAATCCCACATCATGTCGTGTGAACGCTGAACCTCCTCCTCAAGGCAAGGGATGGAGATGTCATGACTTAGGGAGTTGAAGTAACTTGTTTGTGGTACAAGGACTCATCTGCAGTCAGCTGTTCAACTTCCGGTGTTCTCTGTGACCTTGCATCATTGTTTGCAAGATATCTGACTGGAGTCAGGACCCTCCTGAGTCCACAGCTCCAATCACACTGTAGAACCATCACATCCTTCTCCCTCCCCTTACGTATTTTTTGGTGGTTTCCATTTTTTTTGTTAATCTTTTTTTTTTTTTTTTTTTTTTTTGGTTTTTTTAAGACAGTTTTTTTTTTTTTTTGGTTTTTTTAAGACAGTTTTTTTTTTTTTTTTTTTTTTTTTGGTCTTTTTAAGACAGGTTCTTCCTTGTATTCCCAGCTGGCCTGGAATTTGCTATGTAGACCAGGCTGGCCTCAGCCTCACAGAGATCTGCCTGCCTCTGTCTCCAAAGTGCTGGCATTAAAGGCATGCGCCACCACACCTGGGTTTTTTATTAATTTTTTAAAAATTTGTGCGTTTTAATTTTATTTAAATTAGTGTTTGCCTGCATGTGTGTAAGCGTACCACATGCGTGCAAAGCCCATAGAGGCCAGAAGACAGATTCCCACTGGAATTGGAGTTACGGATGGTTGTTAACTGCCATATGTGTGCTGGGAACTGAACTTGGGTCCTCTGCATCCAAGTGCGGTTAAGCTGGTGCTCTTAACTGCTGAGCCATCTCTCCAGTCCTGTTTTTTTTTTAAAAATTTATTGTTAGTGTAGGTATGTTGTATGTGTGTGAGTGCATGTGAGTGTGTGCATGCTTATTTCATGGTGTGTGTGTGTACTTCAGAGGATGACTTTGGGGGTTTTGTTCTCATCCTTCTATGTGTATGTGGTATCAGTGATCTAACGCAGGTAATCAGGCTTTGGGTCAAGTGCCTGTGAACATGCAGAGGCAGGAAATGGATGTCAGATCCTCTGGAGCTGGAGTTACTTCCAGTTGTGAGATGCCCAACTGGTTACATGGGTGCTGGGATCCAAATTTCAGTCTTCATGATTGCTCAGCAAGAGCTCAACCACGGAGGTATTTCTTCAGCCCCATTTTTTTCTTTTTTAAAAGACAGCTTTCATTATGTAGTCCAGGCTACCCTTGAACTTACAGCAATCCTCTTGTCCCAGCCTTCCAAGTACTGGGATTACAGGCATGAGCCATAAAGCCTAATTGTATTGCTTTTCTTGTATTGTGGAAATCCTTCAAGCATAAAAAAGTAGAGATTCTAATATGGTAAACTATCATGCACTCCTAATGCAGCCTCTACAGCCATCTCTATCTCTACTGAATCCTGGTTTCTTTAAAAAGAAGAAAGATTGAGCTGGGTGTGGTGGCGCACGCCTTTAATCCCAGCACTTGGGAGGCAGAGGCAGGTGGATCTCTGTGAGTTCAAGGCCAGCCTGGTCCACATAGTGAGTTCCAAGACAGCTGGGGCTACAGGGAGATCCTGTCTCAAAAAAAACAAACAAAAAAAAAAAAGAAAAAAGATTTATTTGCTTGTGTTCTGTCATGTAGTGCTGGGAACCAAAGAGCAAGTCCTCTTAACCCCTGAACCATCTCTCCAGCCCCCGAGCCCTGAAGACTGTAAAGCCAATCCAAGCACTATATAGCTTTGTCTATAAAACTCCATACCTGCCTGTGTTTAGTCTCACACTTACATCTGCAGCTCCAATGGTTGCAATGGAAGTCAACAATAACTCCTTTATAACACTGAGTTTCCTTTCCTCTCTCTCCCCTCCCCTTCTCTCCCTCCCTCTCTTCCCTTTCCTCCTCTCCTCTCTCTTCCTTTCTTCCTCCCTCCCTCCTTTCCCCTTTCTTTCCCTCACTCTCTTTTCCCTCCCTTCCTCCCTCCCCCTTCCCCCTCTCTCTCCTTTCTTTTCTCTCTCCTCCCCTCCCGCTTTCTGCAATCAGGTAATCAAGTAGAAGCAATAGTGGACTTTAAATAATGTTCAAGCTTTGGAATCAGAATGTTTGTTGAATGTTGGGAACTAGAGATTAAGGATATTTTCAAATCTTTATAGATCACATTTGTAAATACCTTTGCTGCTGTTGATTTGGAGACAGGGTCTCACATTATAGCCCAGGCTGGACTCAAACACACTATATAGTCTAGTCTTCACTTGAGGCAGTCCTCCTACCTCAGCCTCTGTTTTCTGGGATTACAGGTGTGTAACCACCATGCCTGGCTCAGAAGTGACTTTGCTCCTTTCTAGATTCTTTGCCCATAACATGCACATCTCATAGGGTAGACAGGTGTCATTCACCTCCAACCAAGGAAACTGAGGCTTGATGTTACAAGATCTAGTCAGTGTC